TTTCTTTTTTTTTCTCCCTTCCCCCTTTGCACCCCCCCCTTTTAATGTGTTGAGGTGCCATGTTTTGTGCACAATATTTTCATCCATGCGCATTTTGACTTACAAAATCAGAATTGTACAGATGTATTTGTGTTTCAATCATGCGAGCAGCGTTCCATCCGCAAATGGCCGTCTTCATAAGTTCAGTCCATACTTGCACCATAATGTGAGGTGCGCCGCATGGCGTAAGGCGCGGCACCTGCTCGTGCGCCGTACCAGTGGCAGTTTCCCTTTTTTTCGTTTTTTTTTTTGCTGTTTTTGTAGATACAGAAGAGTGCGATACCTAAGGAACTGATCTTTTCAAGTACAGTCGTCCATATTATTCTTTCGTTCCAATTGGGCATGAGAAATAGCCTGAAAAAGGTGTCTGGGACATCTGTCTTGACATTTACGTAGCAGCATTACCCTCCCACGAGTCCCCCCCCCCCCCAACCCAACCATCCCACTACAAATCTTTAAAGGGGATGCAGGTGACCATTGACCCAGCCATCCGACCCCTTTTTTTTTGAGTGAATATTTCCCCCGTGCGCCACAATGTGTGGGGCCGCTCGTGTGCCAAACATGCGTAATTTTCTGCATGGCGTCCGCTTGCATGTATGGTTCAATCAATTGTTGATTATAAGTCTAACAATATAATACTTAAATACAAACAATTGAATACAAAAGTGCTTTTTTTTTTTTTTTTCAATGAAACATGATTCAAACATCAGTTGGCGATACTAGTGATGGTGATACGAGCCCCCACCACTAGCAGACCCCCTGTTGGCTCCAAACTATTGGTGGGGAGCAACACCTGCATAAAAATCCATTATAAGTTCGGTGTTTTCCAAGAACAGTTTTTACTCAACTGCCATACGAGATGGATATCTGCAAAACTGGCAAAGGTCCACAGAATGCAGAGTACAGCAGAGAGGTACATATTCCGCGAAAGGAGTGGGAAGGGAGGGAGAGGGGGAGAGGGGGAGAGGGCGGTGGGGGAAAGGGGGTTGGGAGGGGGTGCGGGGGAAGACATGGGAGGTTGGTAGGCGGTGGGGTGGTGAACATTGCCCATTTGCCTCCAGGGATGCTTACTCACCTGGTACCGTTCAGCGGCCAACTTGGGGAGAAGGGATGAGATATTCGTCAAGCATTGGAGGGGAGAAGGTAGGAGAGATTGCTTCAGCTGCATGGCATTAATATGAATGATTCCCTGCAACAAAATAATGGGGACACAGTCACTAGAGTAACAATCTGGTTAGAAAAAGAAGGTAGCAATGGTATGTGGTGAAGCTGGCAGTTTTCATAAACACAAGTTACACAACCATGAGTGGATGAAAAAGACAAACATTGCCATGCCTGAGATAAGTGAGTTGCAAAATGGAGACAGGGAAATGGGATCAGCAAATGACAATTCAACAGGGAAATGGGATCGTCAAATAGAACTGCCCGGTAAACCGTAGGCAGAGAGGGAGAAGAGGACAACAAACGAGGGGCTGTGACAAACTGTTTAAAACAGAACCTCCTGGTTCTGGCTCCTTGAGAAGCTGAGATTTCTCGATCTGGATGGCCCAGATTTGCTGCCGGCCAGTGTGTGCCTGGACCCAGTGGACCTTGGAAACTTCTAGAACACGGCAAAGTTGCAAACAGCCTTTGATGTGAGATCTGTGGCCGTGGTTGTTCATAACTCAGGATTTGCTCCTGAATTTCAATTTCCTGCAAGAGATTAGAGCCTTGATGGCTAGATTTTCCTATGGTGGCTAATTGGAGTAATGAAACACAAGGTTCGTGGATACATTCCACAAGGGGTAGACCTCCATAAAGTCCTCCTCTCAGGTGGATGCCTCTAGAGGATCCTATAAGGGTCCTAGGGGTAGTACTCACTGCACAAGGGAAGCCAAATGCAAACAATACATGGATTTCATCACCGGCCTTAGGAAAAATGAGCAATGGATGGACCAACACACATCATTACTTGGTAGGGCCCTCCTCATCAATAATACTGTTGGCCTCCATATGGTTCATGGTCCTTGGATAAGAATCCGGTAAAAGAGCTCAAGAGACAACTTAATGTGTTCCTATGGCCTGGGGACCATAAGACCCAGCATGTGATCCCCAGAGTTGCCTAAGACATTCTAATCCAACGAAAACCAAAGGAGGGCTAGGTATTCTAGATCCAGTGATACAGTGTCAAGCTTTTAGACTCCAATGGATAATACGCTTAATATTGCCATCTGATATCCTGTGGTTCGCTCTGGCTTTAGAGCAAATTCGGCGGCTAGCTTGTGATACACAACCTCACGCCTCGCACAGTGTCTCATACCCATGGGAACACCGATCAGAGTAATTGGGGCATGGCCGAGGATTTTGGACGGGGACTGAACCGCCAGGGCAAAACTGGGGTTCTCGCCTCAGTCCTGAGGGTCATTTTGGGAACTCCAGCCGACTGGGGTAACCACAAAATTCCAAATTGGGACAGGCGCAGAAGGGCGGGGCATCGACAAATTCCGCCTGTGGACTTAAGGACACAACACACGGGATATAACTGCAAAGACTGGACAAAAAGACAACGAATCTACCGCTTTTTCCTTAGTAAGGTTCACGCCGCCCTTTTCGTGGGGGCCAAGGAGACAGGGACACCCTAAGCATCCGAGTCGGGTCCGCGGAGCCCGTCCAATCGGCTCGGTCCCTCATCATGTGACGGGGGCGGGAGCGGAGGTACCCAGGTCCAGAAGTTCGTTGGAAGAGCCCCCGCATTGCGGAAGAGATCTGGGAACCGGACGGACTGTTCGTACGCCAACACCAACCTCCGCCAGCGGCGCCAGGAGCACGAGTTTCCTAGTCGGCACCACCGACAGTTAAACTAGGGCTTCCACGTGGCATGTGCCACGGACCAAAGGAGCGTGTGATGCGCAACCTCATGCCCCCCGCGGCGTTCCATACTTCGGACGCTGATCAGAGTAGTTAGGGGTGTGGCCGAGGATTTTTGGCCACGGGGGTTGAGCCACCTGGTCGAAACGGGGGACTCTTGCTTCAGGCCGAGGTGCCCAGAATGGGGCTTGAGCTGTCGCCGGACGAACGACGGTGTCCTACGGGCCGACCGTCGTTCATCCCATGGAAAAGGAAAGAAAACAAAACGAGAGGGGAAGGCAGTTTTGTTCCTTGAGGCGCGTGGTTCGCGCGACCCTTGGGGGCGGAGGCCCCGAAAACAGGTTTAGGCTTCGTTGTCAGACTCGTCGAGTCCGTGCAGACGGCGCGGCATGGGCTCACCCGAGGTTGGGCAGGTCGATGGGACCCAGGTTCGGAAATGGGTGGGGAGCGCACCCTCGTTACGGGAGAGTTCGGGGAAACGAGTAGCCCCTTCGTACCCCAGGACCAGCTGTCGCCACGAGCACGAGTCTCCCTGGTGACACCAGTGACAATTAAACCGCGGTCGGCAGGTGGCGTGCACAACGGACCAGGGCAACACCGTGAGGTCGGTTTACAACAAATTAAAGGCGGGGAAGCAAATTGATCAATCAGCACAAACCCACGCCCGCCTATGTGGCACACCTGGGTCGGGTTATAAAGATGGATTGGCTCAGTGCGCTGCAACAGGATCCGCGTGTCCGCGTCGCAGTATACGCCATCGTCGTCTGCGATCGGGAAGGGTGGAAGCGCGCTGCGACGCTCTAAGACAAGGTCCGAGCTCGGGCCACGACCCGCGCTTCCGTTCGTCGAGACGAAACCTGACTCCATGCAAAGATCGACGAGCACCGCCGGAGACGGATGCACCCAACTTTCTTTGTCCGTCTCTTCTCTATAACATCCATCTGAACGCGGCGTCGGACACCCTTGCTGGAGATAGAGAGGTCGGCCGCTTCGCGCGGACGTGGGTGGCCGATCTCTCTGAAAGTATCCGCCTCCCCTTGGAGTCCCGACCTGCACACGAAAAGAGAGAGAGAGAGAGAGAGAGAGAGAGAGAGAGAGAGCTGTCTCTTATACACATCTAGATGTGTATAAGAGACAGGCCTAGGCTGAAGGGCATGGCCGATTTCGACCATGTGATATTCAAGATCGCACGGCTAAAATCAGTCGCGCACACAGATACAGCATGGGGGGGGAAAAAGGAAGACACACATAAATCGAGAAAAGGTCAATTTTTTAATTAAAAAAGTTAAAAAAAAAAGAAACGGAACAACACACAGAAGATTAGCATGGCCCCTGTGCAAGGATGAGAAATGGTCCAAATGTTTAACACCTGCCTAACCAAAAATAAAAATAAAAATCACATCCATGATAACAATCAAGTTGAGAAAGCAATGAACGCCAGACTAAGCGAAGAATAATGAAGATATATAAAACAACAAGTGTGATGTTCAAGTCGCTTCCCCCTCTCCTACTTTCACGATTCCCTTCTCGAAACCTCAATGTATCCACTGGCTTGCATCTCTGTGTGTGTGTGTGTGTGTGTGTGTGTGTGTGTGTGTGTGACTTTTTCTCTCCAAAGTGCCAGCGCACTGACTCCCAGCAGCAGTCCAACAAGTGCAAGGGAGAGTAAATGAATGAGGCTGGCATGCCAGTCTTTTGCAGTGTTTGCACGGCTGGGCCTGCCTCAAGTTGTCTCCTCAGATGACTGAGATTTCATGATCTGTATGGTCAATAATTTGCCGCGGCCACAGAACTATCACGATGAATGAGACCTCACTCTCAGGGAAGCTTTGCGGGAATCCTACTGCCAGATCTGGCAGGATCCGCACCATGCCCTCTCTGAACTGCTAGATGACCTCAACATACGATGGACAAATTGTAGGGTAGATGAACCCTCCTGGCAAAGAAGACCCTGGATGACTTTGCAGTCCCATGCCTCCCGACCAACTTTCTGTTGATCCCTGAGAACCCCCATCACACAATGGCCCCTGGCCCCGCCCTGCAGTAACCCATCCCGCTTCCCACCCGCTACCCTCGCCACCATCTCCTTTTTGGACCCCTCCCGCCCCCGGATCCTCTATCATCCCGCTGCCTCTACATCCACTGCAGATGATGGGGACAACTGGGCGTCTTCAGGCCACTGTGGCGAACAACTGGTATGAGGACAAGAGCAACAACAGACATGGGGACATTGGACAGACGGCATGCAAAGAGTACAATATGTGCAAAAGCAGCATCCTTGACTCACTTATGAACTCAGTGACTTCCTGCTGCTGGCTCTCTCCGGGGAACATTGCTCGGACCGATCACTAGAGATATATGGGGACTGGGAACCTTCTTCATTAAGGGGTTCACCTGAAGTGAATGTGGATATGGGTAGAACCTGTAAAATCTGTAACTTTGGCTCATTCATAATGCTGTGAAGGGACGTTGGACCCGGTTTCCAGCAGGTGCGAGTTAGCTTTAGTAGAATTTCAATGGTTTGGTGGAGGGGGTTCGGAAAATGAAGAATGATTAATCATCATTATGAGGATTGAAACTGCTAGAGGGGAATGTTCTATATGGCGGTCTGCTCAGGACTGAAGAGGTGGTTTTGATTCTTTTGAACTCTTATCAAGCTGTATCACTTGACATTTTTTCTGTATAAGGGACGCTGAACCCGGTTTTCAGCAGGTGATACTCCCCACCAATAGACTGGAGTCTCAACTGGGTTAGGAATGGATGCTCTTATCACCATTCCTAATGACTTCAGTTGTGTTTAAAAAAAAAACGGTTTCCAGCAGGTGCAGCTCTCCACCAAAAAAAAATAAAAAAATTTGCCGCGGCCAATGTGTGTCTGGACCCTGCTGGCCTTGGAAGCTTCCAGAAACAGTTCTGAGGATTCAGAGGACTGTGATCTGCGGCCGTGGTTGACTCCTGAGGAAATCTTTGAGTCTCTGACTTCTGCACCCCATGCGGGCTGACTGTTTAGTTTCCTAGGGCCTACTATTGACTCGTAGAGGCCCTGCATACCTTCATTTATTCCCTGACCCTAGGTCTACGGACCTAAGAAAATATTTTTTCGAGACCCTTTTTGGAGGCCCATGACCCCAGAACTTCAATTTGGCCAAAACGACGACCCAAAATGGTTGTACCCCTTTTCAAAGCTCTGTTGGGGTTTTCCTGAGACTGCTTTCCAACAAAGGACTTTGACTGGGACAAAGACTGGACCTTATTCTACAGAACTGAGGGCCACTTTCTCGCGAACTCTGGGACCCTACAGACCTATTTCTCATGCCCAGCCTTGACTCACACTTCAGATGCGTGTTTCTGTGCTGAATTTTGAGCCCAGTTCATTGAACCGAGGTACAATCAAACCCGAAGGAGGGCACCCTTATGCACTGAAGGGCAAATCAGACAAATGCACATACACCTCAGAACGTACAATCTTTTTCCGGCAGACGCACAGTCGAGCGAGCTCAAAATTATGCCATATGACATATACCATCTTCATCAAAATAAAAGATATGGTCATTATCACTGTATCTAGACTGAAAGTTGCCCCAAATACAGTTATAATGACCGTACATTCTATGCAGGGGAAGAGAGTAGAGTAGCCGGCCCCCGGCATGTTGCAATGGCGTGTGAGGCAGGACCTCATCATGGGTACCTCCTCTTCATGTGCCCTTGACTAGACTTCTTCCACATATCTTCTACTGTGTCAGCATATAGGGAGTGGAGCCATCAACTCTAGGGAGGGCTACTACCAGCATGGGCTCTTACCCCTGCTGGTAGTAGAAGTCCCCTACGTGGTGATTCCCTGAAGGAAAAAAAGCAATAAAAAAAAACATGGGGTAACTTCGGCGCAGTCACGAAAACAGTCTGTAATTGCACTTCAGGCAATCCCGCGAATACAACACACCCCCACGCAACCCCACCGGACCCGAAACGTAGGTCATATACATTCAGCATTACCGGCCCTTTTGCCTCAAGTGCAATTACAAACTCAAACCCTGACTGCGCCCTAGTTTTCTCAAAAAACATACAGACGTTGTCCCCACAAACTCTGCACACATGCCAACTACTGTCCATCCATTCTGAAAGACAAATAACCAACTAGTGTCAACCCGCTTGGGTTATTTCTACCCTATATAACCCTGTGGAACTGACACTACCTTCTTCCCCGGATAGTACATACTGCCATTTTCGCTGCTTCGGGACTGAAATGCGAGCCAAGTACGGCCATAGTGGCCTTGCATTCTCTCCAGGGGAAGACGGGTAGTTGGCGTCTGTGTACTTCCTGTGCTATTTAGCCCAGTCATCTTAACAGCTCCTACAATTTCATGGTCAAGAAGCTCAACAGTCAATCACTTTTGAAAATGGCCTCTGTTTTTTTGTTTTTGTTTTGTTTTGTTTTTTGAAAAAAAAACACCCCCACCAGTGTTAGTGCTGCTGATATGAGCAAACACCGCTAACGCCTGGGGAGAGGCTCCATCTATTGGTGGGGAGCGTCGCCTGCTGGAAAACGGGTCCAGCGTCCCTTATGCAGAGAAGAGAATGGGTTTTGGAACGATCCGAAAGAAAGGACTTCTTGGAGAACCAGTTTGGGAATAGGTCAACCAGAAACTCCTTTTGCAAGGCTATCACCTGAGCCGGAACCTTCGACCCGACCATCATGTTACGGTTGATTGGTTTCGACAGGACCACCCCGTAAGAGCCGCGGCCTTTTGATTCCGATAAGGGTCAAGGCCCATATGGGGGATCGCTGGAATACACAGCACTCGACATGCATTTTCTGAACCGGATACAGTCAAAGTGTTGCACTTGTCGGAATGCACCTGGTACAGAAAGCGTCCAAGTGCATTGAGAGTGTTGTGTAGTGGACCAAGGCCCATGTGGATTCCGATCCCTGCCCTTGCCATTGTGTAGTTTCATTTCACTCTGCGAAAACATCCAAGGTAAGGGTTTGATCCCCGAACTTGCAAACAACAAGCACGGAAATCCCAACCCCCGGTCCCATTATCTGTCCCTTTTGAGGACAGGGTCTGGGGGAGTACCGTCCCTCAAATTGAGTTCCAATCTGGATAGCCCGCACAGCTGACTCCCTATTGCCTCTATCCTATACACCACAGACAAGGATGCATCACCTAGTACCGTCTTCACCCGAATAGAACACCACCCTGTCATTATCACTGTATCTAGATGAACAGTTGCCCTATTAGCTATAATGACCGGGTGTTCTATTCGGGTGTTCTGATGGACCACGGATCAGACGTCAAGCAATATATGTCAGATGATGGGAGACCCTATCCATCTGATCTACAGTATCTCCAAACCAAACTGAGGCTTCGAGCCCAGTCTAATCTATCAGACGGAACCCTAACCATGATGTGATGTGTATAACAGTGATGTGATGTGTTTCAGCTGGAAGACGGGTCCAGCGCCCCTATACAGTGGTGTGTAGCTATGCCCTACCTTCAGAACCGATCTGTATATGCACAGCAATCCATATGAATCAACATCCAACCGGTGTGTCTTCACTCATCGATTAACACATGTCCCCAGAAGGGAAAACCCTATCCCCTAACCTAGCATAGCACTATAGTAAGCGAGGCATCAAGGCCAATTCTATTGATCAATCCAGAAATCGGACCTTAACACAGATATGAAGTGAAACCCCAGAGCTGATGTACTCTACATGAAGGAGCAGAGGCATTGATTACTTCCCAACGCAGGGGAAGGATTGACCTCCCGCTCATAAAGCATACATGTCCTATACAATGATGTGTATAGATGTCATTTTGCGCATTTATTCACCAACAATAGCAAGCGCAATCCTCAACAATCCTTTCGTGATTAAGAGTTGAGGATCAGACAGGTAAGAGGCACTCAACCCTAATCATCGCAGGGAGATCATCTATCCTATCCCCACCCGGTGCCAGAAAAGAAGAGATGATTCATCATGAAAAAAACACCGAGTAGGGGTGGGGGGAAACAGAACCAAATCGTACCTTCAACCTCAAGCCCCACTTCGCCATCCGCAACAAGCTACAAAATCCCCCCCACTGCCCTGATGACGGCATCTGTCCCGTGATGCTGATAAGGAGCAAGGATGCAGAAGCACCACTCTCTGCCTCGCTACCTCCGTGGTTGTCGCCGCCGCCGTCGTCGTGGCTGTTGTTATTCTTCTTGTTATTGTTGTTGTTGTTGTTATCGCCGTCCTTGTTGCTGTCCGTGTCATCCTTCTCACCCACCTCACCCTTTTCCCCCAATCCCTGCTCACCATCATTTTTATTGTTGTTGTTGTTGTTGTTGTTGTTGTTATCAACATCCTCACCCATCTCGACCATCTCGTTGTTTTCGCCGTCTTTGTTGTTGTTGTTGTTGTTGTTGTTGTTGTTATCAACATCCTCACCCATCTCGACCATCTTGTTGTTTTCGCCGTCTTTGTTGTTGTTGTTGTTGTTGTTGTTGTTGTTGTTGTTGTTGTTGTTGTTGTTGTTGTTGTTGTTGTTGTTGTTGTTGTCAGTGTCAGCGTTCTCTCCCCTCTCCTACATCGCGTTGGTGTTGCCGTTGTTGTTGTTGTTGTTGTTGTTGTTGTTGTTGTTGTTGTTGTTGCTGCTGCTGTTGCTGTTGTTGTTGTTGTTGTTGTTGTTGTTGTTATCCGCCTCCACGCCTATCCCACCCAGCTTGCCCATTCGCCGTTCGCCGCCGTTGTTGAAGTTACTATTGTTATTATTGTCGTTGATATTATTGTCATTGTTGTTGTTGACCATCCCGCCCGTCCCGCCAATCCCGCCCATTCCTTGCCTCTCTTCTTCCAACCCCTGCTCCACCTCCATTATTGTTGTTGTTGAAGTTGTTGTTGTTACTGTTGCCGTTGCCGCTGCCGCTGCCGCCACTTCCACCATTACCAATAGCCCCCACTCCCCTTCCCACTCAGCTGCGTCATCGGTGGCATATTCCCCTTCTCCATTGCCATCTGCACTCTCATCCCCAACCTCCCACTCACCTGCATCATCAGCGGCATATTCCCTCTCTCCATCTCCAACTGCACTCTCATCCTCAGCCTGGTTAGACAGTGCCATCAGGTTAACCCACCTTTCTTCTCCCCCCCCCTCATACTCATCGCATTCACTCACAGCAACAGCACAACTCGGCTCTCTTTCATATTCCCAGATCTCACCTATAGCGCAGATATTTGTATAATAGCGGAGCACATCGCGAACGTCATCTTGCTCACCTTCAGAATCTTCTGTAAGCGAGACTTCGTCTTCATTATGAAAGAGCTTATCCTGTAGTCGAAGTGCTCCACGTTGTAGCTCCCCTTCCATCTCCATCCCTCGTCCGGAGTGCTGTGCCACGTATTGCAATTCGTCGTCAGTCTCCAGTGCTGGTGCTACCCCTGCCCGCGCGTCGCGGATGTTCACGTACCTCAGCAGATGCCATGTGGCAATCAAAGAGCCACGTGCTTCTGCCGGGCGCGCGCACAGGCCTAGCAGCCTGGGAGCTTACCTCCCCAGGCGCTAGTCGAGCCGGGGGAACCGGGCCTACCGGTCCACCGACGTCAGGGCGCTAACGGCAGCGCAGCCCTTCCTCCGACTCCCATCTCAATTTCTATACTGTCCCTAGTTTGCTCTCTCCTACTCTTGTTGCTGCCTTCGTCATGCTACGCTCTTACTATCCTCAACCATCCTCAGCCATCCTTTCAACAATAGTTTTCAGAACTTTTGAAAAAGCGATTTTTTTTGGTTTATTGTTTAAGAACAGGACCTTACGGTTTTGAAAAAACATCCTTCCTCATGCCACCGGTACCTCAATTGGTTCATAAACTGTTTTGTACATGTCTTCATATGGGACGCTCAGCCCGATTCCCAGCAAGTCCTGCTCCCCACGAATAGATTGGAGCATGTCTTAAAAAAAAAAAAAAAAAAAAAACCTCTTACCTGCAAGAAACTGATGAATTCCACAAACTCTTCAACTGTCGTCGGCTTTGCCAGAAGCTTTGCGTTTGACGAGTGCACCTCAGATATGAAGGCCTGTTGAAGTCAACATGAAAAGACATCTCAGTAGGATGGATCAATAAGCACTAATACGGAAACAAAAGTAAAGGAGGGTGAGAGAATGTTGGAAAGGGAGTATAAAAGAGGGGAAAAGAGCAGAGAGGCGAAGACGGTGAAGGAGAATGCAGGGGAGAGAGAGAGAGAGAGAGAGAGAGAGAGAGAGAGAGAGAGAGAGAGAGAGAGAGAGAGAGAG